GAGAGAGAGAGAGAGATACTCATATCAAGAAATGATTCACACTGTTATGGAAACAAGCAAGTCCAAGCAGGTTCCAGTTCTGTAGGTCAGTGGTTGGGCTGGAGATGTCTGGTGATGATCAGCAGGAAGACCACAGGCTGGTGACTCTAGAAGAGGCTGAATCCAAAATCAGGTTAGGCTTATGATTGCAGAGACGATGAAGCCAAGGTTAGCAGGTCAGACGGTAGGCCAATGATGGCTCCTGGGATTGGCAGACAATATGGTAGGCCATTGGTTCAAGTCCAAAGAACTGGAGGACTATGAGCCAGATGCAGGATCCAGAGCCAGCAAATAGCAAATGAGTTTCCCATAGTCTCCACATATATTGGAAGCAGGTGACACTCCCAATGCCATTGTTTTATTCCAGACTGTTACCTGAGTAGGGTGTCTTTTCCATTATGGAAGCTTACATTTGATTTCCTGTGACTGCCATGTGTTAGGTCAGGTCATGCGGGATTACTAGGTATTAACTGCCACACCTCCAAAAAGCCTGGCCTGGCCAAGCTGGCACAAACCTTAACTATCACAGACATCATTAGGATTTGTTTCCTTTTTTCATTATTTTCTAAGGAAGAACACTCAATCTCTTAAGGTTTAAAGTAAAAGTATGTATAGCTTACAGAAGCCGGGAGCTTGTATAAGGTGGAAACCTCAGAGAAGTAAAACTCAAGAAGTTTCCACTAATAGTCCTAATATTTCACACAGGCAAAGATGGACGACTTGTGAGATCCAGAAACCCAGGCTGTCCCATGGAATTTTTGCCCTCTCAGATGTCACTGTATTTCTAATATAATAATGTGAAAAGATTATAGAGGTCAACAAAAATCTGTGGAATTTTATAAAAGAACCTAGACAAAACAAATTAATTATGTATACAGTTTTAGAAATGAACTGTGAGAAACCAAGGACTTTGATTCACAGGGAAAGTTATATATCACTTTAAAGGGGAACAGCATTTGCAAAGACTGAGATTTCTCTAAGACCGTGGACAGTACAAATGTTTAAGCACTGGATTGACGGGAAGGTTGGCCACTTAAGTCACCAGAGATGCCTCAGAAGTAAGATTTAGTGACCTGCTTCTGCAAGGCCATAGCCCTGGAAGCCTTATGGAGTGCAGTTCTAATATGCACTTGGATCAACTCAACAGTTAGAAACAACAGCACCAAAGAGGTTTGCCATTTTCACCAGCACTTGAGGTATACTTTTTAATTCTTTTTCTAGCCGGATCAGGTTGAAAGTATATAACAAGGACATTTGTAAGTGCATTAGTATATCACCACTTGATTTATGTACTAGATAAAGGTTAGTACACTAACAAAAACTACACATGCAATTGCTTCGAGCTACTATTTTTCACTTTTAAAAATCGTGCAAGTAGAGAGCTGGACCCAATAAACTGTCCACAATTTACCATTCTATGAAAAGGTTCTGTTTAGGGGGGCTTTACATTTTACTAGGGAGCTCTTGTGGTATAGTGGTTATACGTTGGGCTGAAATCCACAAGGGCAGCAGTTTGAAACCACTAGCCTGCTCCTCCAGAGGAAGATGGAACTTTTCTACTCCTGTGTAGAGTGCAACAGTATCTGGTACTTACAGGGTAGCTCTACTCTGTCTCACAGAGTTGCATGGCGGCATCAAATTGATAGCAGTCAGTTTTATATTTCATTAGAGCAATGATACATTAGATGGCACAGAACTTTCAAAGACTTCTGTATATAAAGTTTGAGTTAAAGCAACATCAAAATGGTGTTAAGAAACAGTATATGGTTTCATTCCTAAGATAGAATTTACTTTATTTTAAAATTGTTTTGTTTTTCTTTTAAATATTTGAGCAGCACTCCATTGCTTGTGTTTTGATGACTTTCCATTTTTCTTGATTCGTACTTCTTATAGTATACATTCAATTGCCAAGTAGCCGATGAAAGCCGTGGAAGCTTTCCTTCATTACGTTATATTCCACTCTTCGCTTAGTTATCTTTTTAGTCCCTTGTATGCTAAGCAGCTCCTTCCTCTCCCTGCACTACACCAAGTAAGTTTTCCACTGCTATCCATAAGGTATTTAGTTTTTTTTAATTATTAAATACTTCACTGGGGGCTCTTACATCTCTTATCACAATCCGCACATTCATCCAGTGTGTCAAGCACATTTGCACATATGCTGTCAGCATCATTTTCAAAGCATTTTTTGCTACTTGAGCCCTTGATATCAGCTCCTCATTTTCCGCCCTCTTCCCCCATGAACCCTTAATAAGTTATAGATTATTATTTTCATATCTTACATTGTCCTCTGTCACCCCTCACCCACTTTTCTGTTGTTCGTCCTCCTGGGAGGGGGTTATATGTTGATCCTTGCGGTCGATTCCCCCTTTTTCCACCTTCCCCTTATCCTCCTGAGGGTCATTGTTGGTCCTGAGGGGTTTCTCTATCCTGGATTCCCTGTGTTGCAAGCTCTTATCTGTAGCAGAGTGCATGTTCTGGTCTAATCCCGCTTGTAAGGTAGAATTGAGGTCATGATAGTGGGGCAGGGGAGGATGCATTAAAGAACTAGAGGAAAGTTGTGTGTTTCATCTTTGCAATACTGCACCCTGACTGGCTCGTCTCTTCCTTGTGACCCTTCTGTATGGGGATGTCCAGTTGTCTACAGATGGCTTTGGGGTCACAAAGTCCATATTCTTAGTTTGTCTTAGTCTGGACGCTCCACTGCAATTTGCTCACTGTGGGTGACATGGTTGGCATTTGAAATACTAGTGGTATAGCTTCCAGCCTCACAGCAATATGAAAGTGACTAAGTAGAAAAAGGACATCATGTGCATTACCAGGAAGGGCCAGCTGCTCCATGGGAGAAAGATGAAGCTTTCTAGTCCCATAAAGAGTGACATTCTCACAAACCCACAGCAGCAGCTTGACTCCATCCTATAGGGTCACTGTGACTTGGGATCAACCTGATGGCAGTGAGTTTGACTTTAGTAGAGGATGTGAACCAGTTCACACCCTTCGTTTCCTTTAGGGCATTTTAAAGACTATTTTACTAGCAGGTATGGCTGGAGATACCATCCTTTGTTTTCTTGGGGGCATCTTTAAGACTATTATAGTAGAGGGTGTGACTTAAGGCACCATCCTTGGTTTTCCTTGGACATAAAATGGTACCTCCAGACAGTTCTAACACACATCTCCTCACCTGGAAAGCCAGACTGAGCTTTGATAGAAGCAAAAAGACTTGCTGTGTCTTTTGGATGTGCATTTGGATCTCCGCTGACAGCCCTTCAGATTTTGGATGAAGCAGTATCCACCACCACATGAGATATTTTCTCAAAGTTTAATGAGTTTCTGTGTGACATTTCAACAAATTGTAGATTGTAAGGGTGTGGGGGAATATACTCAATGGAAAAGTGGGGTAAAAATGGAGCTGAATAGCATCTTAGAAGAGTTGGATATGTGGGACAC